GCCCTCATCGTCTGGAAATGCTTTTGGCGACCGAACCCACGGAACCGGGGGAGGCGATGGTGCGGGAGGGCTGAGGGAGGTGCGGTAAGCAGGATTGGCGGCCGTTGTATGTTATTGTTGTTGGGGGGGGGCGGGAGGCGAAAGTAGGGCGGCCGGCACAGATCGGGGTTGACGTGAGCGGCGCAGGTGGGCCTGGGGTGGGTCGAGGAAGGAAGGGTAAAATGGGGATTATGTATGGAGTTTGCATGGAAACTTGGGGAGAGGGGCTTGGACACAATTTTTTCAAAAAAATAGGGGTGCAGCACATGTGTTAAAGTTGGGGGGGCTGGGGCACATTCAAAGTTTGGATTTGGGGTCTTGAAGCAATTTTCCCTTTAAAGAATCCAATTTTAAATTTTAATTTAAACAATGGCCATATTTGCAAATAAAATACTCTTGACAATTTTAGAGTAAAAAAGAACGGAAATTCCAAATTTAGTTAAACAAACAATCAACTTTTTATATTTTTTAATAAGACGAAACCAAAACTCTACCATGTTAGCAATTTAGGCTGAAATTTGTTGTGCACAATTAAAATGAAACCCGGTCCAATTATCTGGGTCAATGTTTGTTAGACACCAAACTGTTCGCCGCTCAAGCCAACAGTCTGGATAGCAATCCACAGGTGGACCAAGATGAACTCGTAAAAGAGGTAGCAAATTCAGAGTTAGGATGATCCAAACCTTCAGCATTCGAACCCACAAAGTTCGCTGTTACCGCTCCCTTGGAGCAAGAGCAGCCAAGTGAGAGCTTGTTGGGGGGAATGCACAGGGCCTCAACAGCTCGCTATTCTCGGGTTTTCCAATCCCAGTTCAATGCTTTCCCAACCTTGGGTTCACTTAAAACTTAAATATCAGGTGTGACCGGTTTCGACTTGAATTGATGATGTGGCGGAAACTTGATTGTTGTTTATAAAGGACAGTCCGGTACACGAAGGTCGTGCTATGCATGGGTTCTGGGAATGGGTCAGATCGATTTTATGAATAATCTGAATCCTGGTTAGTTTTTAATTAAGTTTAAAAAAATTATTAAAAGATTGTCCTTCTAGGGAAGAATCGTTGAAAATGTTAAATAGTTTTGCAACCAACTCAAGCATATGCTTGAATAAGAGCGGATCTATTGTGTTTGTTAATTGCCTGGCTAGGAAAGTTATGAGGGTGATGCTTGACACGTTTAGTATTAAGAAAACCTATAAAAATAGAAATGTGAGGAAGGTGATTGCTTCCTAAAAGAATGGGAGTCCTGTAAAATTAGAAGCATCTCTTGACATTCCCTGTTTCTAAAAGTACAGGTTGTTTGGAAAATTTTCTTTTATGCTGCAGTACTATAAATAGATGCCATGTCAACGCTATATCAGAAAACTTTTATTCACTTTCCACTTTCTCATGAGAGATTTTATACTTGTACTTTCTAGCATTGTCCAATTTGTTGTGAGAGATGGCTGGATTTTGTTCTAGGAAAAGAAATATGAATATCAATGAATGTAGTGAGATAATGGGAAATTGTGTTTCCAGATAAGTTTCTCCTTTCTCATTGTCCAATTACTCATTTTCTCCTTTCTCTCCATATAGTTTTTGGTGAGAAATTGTTGCAGTGTGAAAATGGAAAATTGTGTTTCCAGTTCCTCACTTTCTCACTCACAATGTTGTTTGGAAAATTTTATTGAGCAAGTCTTCAATACATTGTTAGTTAAAAAAAATTTACACGCAAATTGGAGGAGCCTCTACTGCCACAGGATGGGCAAGCACCCATTATACCTTTGTCTTGCTATTTTCTAAAAGAATTTTACTCTGATGCCACAAAATGGTTTAAACTTGTTTTTTGCATGCTGTTGTTAATCTAGCTGCTGTGTGAGCATATTTTGTATATATGGTAAGAACACTATAGCCATGCTTTTGGAGTAGAGGGTATGGCTTTGGTATGGCTTTAACTTGTAACAAACATTTTTGATAATTAGGAAGGCTGAGGTATCTGTTGGATGCCCCATTTATTGTCTAAAAGAGTTTTTACTCTGATGCCTCGAGCACATATACAATTAAATTTTCTTTAAAAAACATGTACAATTGAAAACGTGTGATTAGCTTGGATGATATTTCAATTTGAAAATTGTCAACCTGGTGAAAACTCCTAATATTGTTAGTGACAAAGGTGAATTGGAGCTGCTTGCAGTGCCAATATTTTAAACGTTGGTTGTTTCTTCCTTACTGGTGTTTTTTTAGGATATCCCCAATATATGAGAGATGTTCATGGATGATTCCCACTGTTATAAATAGCGATAAATAGCGCCGCAATAGCGGCGCTAATAGCGCTAATGGTCCCGTCCCGCTACGTTATCGCCCAATAGCGGTGACATATTGCAGAATATGCGCTTTCTGTTCGCATAAGCGATCAATAGCGCGTCAAAGCAGTGAATAACGAGCGATTGTGGGCAAAATTCACTTTTTGACCCCTATTTAAAAGCGATTGAGGTTTATTTTTTCTAAAATTAAACATGACCCGTAACCGCTGCATCCTGTCGCCTCCCGCCCCGTTGTCTCCCACGATTTCCAGGGTATTCTCGCAGCCTCCCACAACCTCCGACACCTACTTTAGCACTTCCTCTCACCTCCGTTCTCCATGAGCTCCTTCTACTGCGGTCCTCTCACCTCTCAGCTCATCTTGTCGAAGACGACGACTCTTTGACTCCTCCTCTAGTCGTCTTCAGTATTATGTGACGGTTACATGTGTATTTCATGTTTAGAATCTCTTTAGATTATTAAATATGCACTTTTAGATTTTTTAGATTTTTCTTTAATTTTTTTTCGAGTATTTGTACATATCTAAATTAGACTATTGTTTGACTTTGCGTTTTTTACCGCTATTTTACCGCAATAGCCCCAAATAGCCTTAGTGATGCCTCACCGCTACACGACTGATGCTTCCTTGCTAAACTTTGGAATGAAAATAATAAATGTTTATCTCTTTTCTTAAAGCATAATGAAACAAGCTGAAGAAATTCCCTCTCCTGCCTCAATATGTATCTCTAGATCTCTCTTCTATTTTCTTTTCTTTTGCAGTACTTTTAACGCAAGTAATTAGAGCCTTAATCTTGGGATCATCCTGTCCTTCCTTTCTCATCCTTGAACAAAAAACTTTATATAGATTTAAAAAATGTCTACAGAAAGTCCTCTTTAAGATTTGCATGTTCACGGAAGTACCCCTAAGATTTTAAAAGTGATACTTCCCCTCCCTTTCGGTTTTTTGAAGTTAATTTGGATGTAAAAGTCTATAGTAATAGAATATTATAATTAGCTGTTGTCTATAGAACCATGTACATGGCTATTAAAGTAAACCTTAAAGGGTATTTTCTCTCAATTCTACAAACCAAATAGAGGGGTTTTCTATTATTTACCTTTTAAACAGGGGTTAACTGCAGATAAACCCCAGGTATTATAATGAGGATAAGAAATGGCAATATTTGATTAGTTGATATATTTTTGAATTTTGTAATCTAAAATTTGAAATTTGAAATTTGAAATTTGAAATTTGAAATTTAAAATTTAAAATTTAAAATTTAAAATTTAGTTTAATTTTAGTTGAGTGATTTGAGGGATTATTGTTTGTTTCTATTTTTATTGCACGTTGTGTGCACGTAGTTTTTTTTATAAATAAAGTTGTATGAGACTATTGAAAATCAATGAATTATTAAAAATTGAAATGAAATTTGAGTTGGCTTAATTTGGGTGTGAAACCTAGGCCTCGGGTGTGAAACCCTAGGCCAATACATGTTCCTCTTCTTCTAGTTGTCAAACCTTTATCTTCTCCCATTCATCTGTTCATCTCACAGCCTCGCTGCCCCCACCCCTTCTCTTCCACAAGCTACCGATCTATCCCTGCTCTCCTTACCTTCGAGCAGACGTCGTTCCCGCCTCCATAAGCCGTTAGAATCACCTCAACAGTCGTTGATTTCCCTCCGTCCTCCACTCTTAGAGCCGTCATTTATTCAGCCTCGTCCCAACGCCTGCCACTTGCATCGACCCGACGACTACCCGTGGGACATCGCACCACCTTCATCCCGTCGTCGCGTCGTCATCAGTTCAACACCGTCGCACTCGTCGTCATCAGATCTTCGCCTCATCATCGTCGTTCAGTTCACCGTTGTCGCACCACCTTCAGAGGTCTCTCACGTCGAGTTTGTTCAGACCGACGAAGGTTTCGTTTTCTTTCGTTCCTCTTTATTTTTCTGTCAATCTCATTTTGTTAGTTAATTGCATGAGTATATTACCTCTAAACTCTTATCATATATTCACTGTTTAAAGTATAATTGTGAGTTGAGAGTAACTGAACATGTGATTGTTAAAACTTGATATTGATTGTAAAACTTGTGCAATGATAATGAATATTGCAATTAAATTAATCGAGATTGGAATTGTTCATAACTGTCGATGCAAATCTTATTAAAATCCATCTGTCACATTAATTGTTTTTAAATTAATTTCCTACCGAATTCCATCTGTCACATTAATTGTTTTTAAATTAATTTCCTACCGAATATTATGAATTTTGGCGAAACGGTGCGTTGTTTAAATTACCGAATATTATGAATTTTGGCGAAACGGTGCGTTGTTTAAATTAGATCGCTGATTCCGATAGACCCCCTCCCCCGTTTCGCATCATATTATCCCCCAGATGTGGATAGACCCCTATAGCTTTATTGTTGCAGATACCCCTGAGTGAAAATATTTGGCGGATTTTCCCTAAGGATATTTATTTTTCAAAATAATAAATTCTTTTCCTCTGAGCGTAAAAGTGTCTATCTGCGGCAATGGAACTATAATGGAACTATAAGGGGCCTATCGGCGGGTGATGGTACATGGGGTGTATCCACATTTAATTCCAAAAAAATAGTGATGGAGAAGCTGTAGCCTATCTGGTATAAACTATCTATTTCCTGATATTTGATTTTTTTGTTCTGATGCCAGAATACATAGAGGAACTTGTACAAGCTAATAGATCCAGGGGCAAAGAAATCTGTGCTGGCACTTTCTTAAACCCCGGCTCATGGGACGCTTGCCTTCTTGCTGCCGGAACCACATTATTAGCAATGAAACATATATTGGATCAACATGCAAAACTTTCTTATGCTCTAGTTCGTCCACCTGGTCATCATGCACAGCCTTCTCAAGCCGATGGATATTGCTTTTTAAATAATGCCGGTCTTGCTATTCAACTCGCTCTAGATTCTGGATGCAAAAGAGTTGCTGCAGTTGACATTGATGTCCATTATGGAAATGGCACTGCTGAGGGTTTTTATAGGTCGAATAATGTTCTTACGATCTCCCTTCATATGAGTCATGGTTCTTGGGGTCCTTCACATCCTCAAAATGGAACTATTGATGAAGTTGGTGAAGGTGATGGTTTTGGATATAATTTGAATGTACCTTTGCCTAATGGAACCGGGGATGAGGGTTATGTGTATGCCATGAATAGATTGGTGGTTCCAGCTCTGCGAAAGTTTGAGCCGGAGGTCATTGTTCTAGTTGCAGGGCAAGATTCAAGTGCAGTGAGTTTAACTGTAGATTTAGCTTCTTCTAAAGTTTTGCATTTTATTGCCGTTATACTGTATTGGTTTAAAACTGTTTTTCAGGATTATAAATTATAACCCTCAACCCTCACCCTCACCACATGTAGACTGTTTTCTTTTTCTTTTTTTAATTATAAATTTGAAGCTGTCAGCCACATAGATTCGCTCTTATAGAATTACGTATTTGAGGGTGAACTGCAGGGACACCCCTTACACTGTAGAGGGTTGGAGGGTAATCATTTACCCCACTAAAGCTATATTTATTTTCACTCACACCTGAGTTCCAGATGACGTTGTTTCTATTAGAATATAAAATTATAACCCTCAATCCTCACCATAACTTCGGGAGATTTGGAGCAGTGGCAAGTCATTTTACGATTTCCTTGTTAGGTCGAAATGTGACTTGAGAATCACATGCTGCAAACCACCTTTTGCCCCTATCAGTTTTTTCACGGCTGAACCGAGGGCAAAAGGTAATTTGTCATCATGTGATTCTCACATGCCATAAACTAAAGAAGAAATAGCATAAATTGAGGTTCTGGGGGTGTATAGTGCAAGGTTTTAAATATCGGTTATAGGGGATTTATCGGACGGTCAAAATCCTTATCGGATAGCGGAAATCAGGGATATATCGGGGATAAGTAGTATTTATGGGAGTGATATATTAAATGGTGTATATATAATATAATAACCAAAAAATGTAGTCTAACCATACTTAATGAAATATAAACATACCAAAGTATAAATAATCATGTTTAGAATCACTAACCAATTGTAGAAAACAAGTCGGGTCGGGTTTAATAACTCACTAAATAACTGCCCATTACCCAAAAATTGAACTCAAAATTTGGCCCGATAAAGACGATATTTAGAGCCTTCCTTATCGGCCAATAAGTACCTTTATTGCCGATAACTCGCTGATAAACCCCAAAAAATGATAACCGATTAAAATTCCTACTTATCCTAGCGGAAAGCTCCCAAATCTGATAACTCGGCGATAATATCGGATTATTGTCCGATATTTAAAACCATGGTATAGTGCTAATAAAATGGTTTTCAGCATACAAGTGGCTACACCCGATAGTACATGAGGTGAATCTGCAATTGACATTATATTCTAATGTTAGACATGCTTTTCTGATCCACATCATTTACATGAGGTGAATCTGCAATTGACATTATATTCTAATGTTAGACATGCTTTTCTGATCCACATCATTCTATATTCCTCAGATTGTTTCATGTGATGGTGATGTGAGCATGTTACGTTTCCTGTATCAGTTCATAGTAGGTCTAATATGACTTACAGCGAAACTGTGTCAAATATATTTTGGGTTCAGTGACTTCTTTCCCCTAAACTATTAAGTTTGTCATTTTCAGACCTAAACTATTAAGTTTGTCATTTTCAGACCCATCATACCACCTGAACTATAACTTTCCTGTCATTAATTCATTTAAAATAAAATAAAAAACGATAAGTGGTAACTAGGTATTGAAAATGATCCTTCATGGGGTAAGATGGGACTTGAAAATAGTGCAAGGGTAGGCATGGATGAATTTAAAAGCTTATGGGGGGCAAGTAGAGTCTGAACTCTGAAGCCACATATTTTTAATTTCCACTTCTTTTAGGTTTGACGAATAGCTTTTATTTGTTGCAGTTTGATCCTAATGGAAGGCAATGCTTGACAATGACGGGTTATCATAAAATTGGCCAAATAATTAGGACCCTGGCAGATTTGTACAGTAACGGGCGTCTCCTAGTGGTTCAAGAAGGAGGTTACCATGTAACTTATGCCGCATATTGTCTCCATGCAACCCTAGAAGGTGTTCTCGATCTTCAGGACCGCCTATTATCAGATCCCATTGCTTATTACCCTGAGGACAAGGGATATAGTATTAAAGTTATTGATGCCATTGAGAAATATTGGAGAGATTCTATCCCCTTCCTGAAGGAGCTTTGATAATGTTTCCCTTGTGCTATTCTGCAATTTAACAGGTATGATTGGCCGTGCTCCACCTTCTTTAGGACGATTATGTCGATCATGACAATTTTTTTCCCTTAACAGAATAGGTTACGAGTATCCATTCTCGCTGAGGAGGAGGTTGTTAAGAGTATAAAATTATAACCCTCGACCCTCACAACAACTACAGAGTTTTGGTGCGGTGGCAGGGACGTTTGGTATAATGCCAGACGAAAAGAGGATACTGCTGCTTGATTCCAGGGCTGGGACCTTTGACGGTAGATATTACATCGGTAGCAAGACACCACAGGACATATTTAGCATAATAATTGCCTGTCTCTAGAAAAGAAAATAGTTCTGTTTGTGAAGTGAATCCCATTTTAGGCTTACTTTGATAGTGGTCCAAGATTTATGTGTAAACTATGTTTAGGGTATTGAAAATACTAGAGAGCATATATTCTCTCTTATAAGTGGATCAAACTGCGAACTTGTAGGCAGGAGAATATGGTCTACAACCAGAAAATGACACTGGGGAATTTCTGTATTGATTCTAAGAGCATCTCCAACAGCTTCTCCATTTTTTATTTTTGAAGAATTTAGTTAGGTTTTGGCCCAACAGATTCCCCATCTCATTCCCCAAAATAGGGATGGAGGAGAAAAAATGGGGAAGCTTCCCCAAATCTGCAGCATTCTCCAAATTTTTGGAGGAAAAAAAAGATTTTTCAAAATGGGGAAGCTGTTGGAGTTGGTGTAAAAATTAGTTGGAGAATATGACTTTTGCTTCCCTATTTTGAAGAAAATTTTAGAGAAGCTGTTGGAGATGCTCTAAGTACTTTGTACGACAACAACGGGCGGTAACTGAATTTTTCACTTTTAAATTTCTTTTCTTGGGTTATGAGTTCGATTTCGTGGGCGAATTCTTCATAAATTCTTCATAAAAAATGGTTGCATTTATATTGAAAAAAAGAAAAAGATAAAGTAAAAGAAATCAAAGGGAAAATATATGGGAAAAAAATTCGTACTTTGAAAATTTTGACTTTTAAACTTCTTACTCCCTTATTAATATTATTATTTTATTTTATTTGCATTAGTTGACTTTGTTTTTTGTGCAATTTATTATGAGCCATGAACATGAGACTGAGCTTTCCTGCGCATTTATTGAAACAGGAAAGTCTTGGCTTCAGGTGGGAGAAACATCATGAAATGAGCTTCTCAGCTTAACATAAACTGCCGATTATGTGATGAGAAATTCAACATTATAAATAATTTCATCTAAATGTTGGGCTTGTGATTATTTGCGACAATTTTCTTATAATTAACTTTAAATGGTCCTAGCAAAAAAAAAAAAGGTGGGGGGGGGGGGGGGGGG